TCAAATAGTGCACATGGCTCTCCTATGGTCGTGAAGTTTGTTATAAAAACTCCAGACGTCTGAAACCTTTTTTACAACTACTTCCAACCGCGCCCTTATCTGACGCCATTTTTTCTAATCAAAAATTGTATGCATAGCACATGCGTATAAATAAACGTGCGAACATTTGAGTGGGCACTGGCAGATCTGAAGCCTCTGTCAGCTTCGGAATATTCGAATACTTCGTCTCAGCCCTAGTTTAAACATGCTTGTCCAAACAACAGGATACACGGTTTGAACTTAATCTTTTCAGAGTATACTTTGTGAGAGATGTATATTATATAGGACAAAATCAGACTACTTGAAAACTTAATAACTTTGTTTCATAATAAATGAAGTTAATTTAAATATACATTTCTTTTTACAGTGCAAAATACAAGATATTTTAGCTTAAAACTAATTAATTTGCTTTGAGCAAGGATAAATAACTGGTATAGAGGTAAATAAACTTCAACTGCAAACAAAAGCCAAAATTTAAATTTAAAAAAGGCCACAAGAAGTGCAATGCAGCTAAGTATTTTAATCAACTTCTTCAATGGTTGGACCAGCACCAGCTGCACCACTCCCTGGAGCTGCTCCACCACCAGGCATGCCTCCTTCAGGAACCCCACCAGCTTGATACAACTTTGTAATGATTGGATTACACACTCCCTCCAATTCTTTTTGTTTGTGATCAAATTCATCTTTTTCTGCCAGCTAAGGTGAAAGGAAAGTGTCACTTGAAATTAATTCTTACAACATTAATAATACCCTTCAACATTATGTTAAAAATAACATGAGATGATTATAAATTAATGAGAGAGAGTGAAAAAAACAAACTTTAATGTAATAACAATGGAAGAACAAGATATTAACATCTAGTTTTTAATTTGAGTTCAGAGATTAATCCTATAAGAAAATCTATTTTTATCAATTCCTTGATGCTTTGGTTTAAAATTCAAAAGAAATACTAAAAAGGTTCTGTAATAACAGATAATCACACACTCACATGTATAAACTTAGTACTAGATATATAATTGAAAATTTTTAATTTTCAGCTTCTTACAAATTTTAAGTATATTAGAATTCTACAAGGTTTTTTTTTATTATGTATAAATTTTTTATTTCTGTCTTTATGATTTTAACCATGGACTGTATAGTTTGCTGTGATTTTAAAATGGGAGTTCATATATTTTAAAATATTTGTTTTTAGTATTTCATATATTATTGTTACATGTTACATTTTCAACAGGACTTACTTGGTTACTGTCCAACCATTTGATTATTTCCTGAACTTTATCCAAAACCTTTTTCTTGTCCTCCTCAGAAATCTTGTCCTTCAGCTTCTCATCCTCCACTGTAGATTTCATGTTGAAAGCATAACTCTCCAATGAATTCTTGGCCTGTATTCTGGCTTTCTGTTTTTCATCATCTTCTCTATAATTTTCAGCTTCTTTTACCATTCTTTCTATTTCTTCTTTAGACAGACGACCCTTGTCATTAGTAATAGTGATCTTATTCTCTTTTCCTGTGCTCTTATCCACAGCAGTGACATTCATAATGCCATTGGCATCTATATCAAAGGTAACTTCGATCTGAGGAACTCCTCGAGGTGCTGGAGGTATACCAGTTAACTCAAACTTGCCCAACAGGTTATTGTCCTTAGTCATGGCACGTTCACCTTCGTACACTTGGATAAGCACACCTGGTTGGTTATCCGAATATGTTGTAAATGTCTGGGTTTGTCGGGTTGGGATGGTAGTGTTGCGTTTGATAAGAGTGGTCATTACTCCTCCTGCTGTTTCAATACCCAAGGAAAGGGGTGTAACATCTAGAAGCAATAAATCTTGCACCTGCTCTGACTTGTCACCACTCAAGATTGCAGCCTGCAAAGTAGTTGTACTTGGTCAAACAAAGACAGCCATGCAAGGTTACTTTTAACCAGTAACCAATTATGTTACTGGAAAAAGAAAAGTTGCATAAATAAGCTGTAATACTGGACTGGTAAATATTATATTCAATTCTTGTATTAAAATCATTCGAAAACTTTAGGCTCCTTAACATTTTCCTAAGAACACACAACTTTGAACACTCATTTGTTAAAACATTTAAGCACAAAAGATAGAATTTTTGAACTTGAAGAAAATTGCTTTAGGCATACACACATTTATTATTTTTATAAAGTTATGTGCAATGCAAAATGTAAGATATTTTAGGTTAAAACTTGTCATTTGCTTTAAACAAGAATATACAAGTTGTGTAAATTCTTATGACAAGAACATACTCCCTTTATCAGTTAATTGCAAGTTGTACCATCAAATAATTCATTAATTTATATAGTTGAAGATAAATTATCTTACTATAGATGTGTGTTTATATTTTTCTTTAGTAGATTAATAACATTGCTTATACATTTTAAAGTATTATTTTATTTGTGTGTTGCTGTTGAATTTCATTTTGAACTTCAACTATTTTAATGTATTTTTTGAAGTGAATATAAAAGGATATCCAAGTGACTTACTTGAACAGCTGCACCATATGCAACAGCTTCATCAGGATTGATACTTTTGTTCAGATCTTTACCACTGAAGAAATCCTGAAGAAGCTTTTGGATTTTTGGGATTCTGGTAGATCCACCTACAAGCACAATATCATGAACTTGACTTTTATCTAGCTTTGCATCCCTCAAAGACTTTTCAACTGGTTCAAGAGTGCCTCGGAAGAGGTCAGAATTCAATTCTTCAAAACGAGCTCGTGTAATAGTTGAATAGAAGTCAACCCCTTCAAACAAAGAGTCTATCTCAATGCTAAAAATGAACAAAGAATTAATTACAAATTAAGTTTTATAGCTGACCAATGTATTGAAGATTGGTTTTTATTTGATGTTTTTAGATATCAAAAACAATACAAAAGAAATAGTAGTAACCAATTTCAGCTACTGTGTAAGCTAGATAATAATAAAAACAAAGAGCAGATATAATATATATATGTTAAGTATCTTAAGCATATTACTTTCACTTTGTCTCTCACTTACACCGCATTTTAAACCTATATATATTTATTTTTTGTTGTTGTTTTTTGTAGCTTAAACACTGTTTAGGTGAATTTGTCTTCTCACAAATAGTATTCTAGAATTAGTAAGAAGACTTATCAGGTGGCAATATATGGTGCATGTTGAAAAGTTTAATAACTATTTTGGGACTTCTACACGTAATTAACTCAGTTATTATAATAGGTTATTTGTTTTGAGTTTTTGCACAAAGCTACCAGGATCTACCTGTGCATGGCCATCCATAATTTTGAACTGATAAAACTGGTGGGAAGGTCACTAGTCAAAAGCCCCCACCACCACCTCGTGTCTGACCAGAAAGTGTAATTTGAACACTATTATATTGCACCTACAGCTCCAAAGTGCAGAACACACTTCTGCAGCAATGGGACATGAACCTTAAACCCTCAAATCCACAGCCCAAGCACTTTAACCATAAGGCTACACCTGACCCTACTAAAATAACTCTAATTTAAAACTTAGGTAGAAGCTGTGATAACAGGGGTTGTTGTTTTTTAACATTTTTTCACTACAGTACATAATGCTTTTTGTACCAATTTTGGGAAGTATACAAATATTTCACTATAATAATATTATTAGTATTAATGATAACAGTATTTGGGGAGTGGGAGTGGAATTGCCAGCCTGATACCTTTTCAACAGCTGAATCATGATTAGGTTTCCAACAGGAACACCTGTGTGGTACAGGATGGTGCTATTTGTTTTCTACCCCTTAGTTAACATGCAATATTTTTCGACATACAGAATCAACCAAGTAAACAACTTACCTTCTCTGTATCCTAGTTGTGCATGGTACCAAGATTACTCTTAACTGGTCATTAAATGAAAGGTAGCTATAACTTCATTTGTGATGTCCCAAAAGAGATAACTATTTTAAAAGTGGTCTTAAAATGTGGGAGTAATCTGTGAGCCCTGAGCTACTGTTCTTTGTTCTTGTTTTGCTTTCAAGTATAAAAACCCAGGTTTTCCAGATAAGAATTTTTTAATATTGTTTGTGAGATTTAGACACTTTTAAAAGAGCTTTTATTTTGAGCCTTTAACTAGTATGTTGTTTTAACTGTGAGTTTTAGCTTCTCAGAGTTGGCTCACTTTAAACTGTTGTGAGAGGCCTAATAAACATTTCTCTCTCTCTCTCATTCTCTCTTGCACACAAACACTTTGATTTTTTTATTTAAAGATTGTGGATCTTGTACACCACATCTTTCTTTCTGTTAAAAACACAGGGAAAAACAAACTTTTTTTTTGCAGATTCTACTCCATTACTCTGTTGGAAATCATGGTAACAATGAGTTCTGGTTACAGTAAGGGACAGCATGTAAAATAGTTATATACTACATACACTAGATTTACATAATGTTTACTGTTCTGTGTCCAGTAACTTAAATCAGATTTAAAATAATGCATACTTCATTAATTGTATTAATTTAGTTGAGGTATATTAATCCTTTTTTAGAAATAACCTTAGACCAAAATAATGCATACTTCATTGATTGTATTGATTTATGTGAGGTATATTACACTTTTTTTAGAATTAACCTCAGACCAGATTAAGTGAAAATGCAATTAAATGGGTAATTGAAGATTCATAAGAACACTAGTTTGACATTCCCTTTTTCTTCAAGATCGATGATAGGACAAGTTTATCATCTTGCAAATTTCACTTCAATTTGCACAATAATCTCAATCTCAGTTTACCTAAATGAAACCAACCAAGGGTTAAATATATCTTTTGTCATGGGTAGAGTTTTATATTTTCTCCTGTATCTTAGACACATCTAGTAGATAAAGAAAATTTTCATGATATTCCAAACCAGCAAAACATTTATGACATACATGTTTCCAATCACACAAAAATAACCAACCTGGCTTGAGAGCTGGAAGAGAGTGTTCGCTTGGCTCGTTCACACGCAGTTCTCAATCTTCGTAAGGCTCGTTTGTTAGTAGTAAGGTCTTTTTTGTGTTTCCTTTTAAACTCTTGAACAAAATGATTGACCATGCGGTTATCAAAGTCTTCTCCACCTAAGTGAGTATCCCCAGCTGTTGATTTAACCTCAAAAATTCCATCTTCAATGGTCAAAATGGAAACATCAAAAGTACCTCCTCCAAGATCAAAAATTAAAACATTCCTCTCACCTGTGCCCTAAGAGAAAAAAGCAACAAAAAACTTAAAATTAAAGATTTCAAAATGTCCATGTAAAGTAAACAAAGCTTGTATTTTTTTTAAATTCCTTATCAGATTAAATATTTAATCAATGTCAATTCTTCAAAACTCATTAGCATTACTTCTAGAGCCAATAGGTTCTCTTATATTAAAGCATACACAAACATAACTGCTAATATACCTAAATAAAGCTCACCTCAGGTACTCAGGTAAAAAACAAGATCTCTGTAACCCTAAGTCTGCATAAATCTATCTTGTTGAGACACACAACCCCTCTTCTCCATAATTACTCATTCAACCCTTAAATATTGTTAGGATTTATTGCCCACACCTGAAATATAGAAAGCCTCAAACTTGAGAGTTAAATGTGTTTTTAAATTATTCATATAAAAATTTAACTAAAATACCATCAATGCTGCTATTGATACTTTTAATTGCTGCATGTATCTCCAATATATATTTTACACAGAAATTTGACTATTTCACCCAGTATTTTAGTGAATTCCTTACATAGTGTTGAATGAGACAAAACATAAATGTAATATAACAACCCCCATCTGGCAAATTGTTTCAGACAAGCCATTATCAACATTATAAGCTACCACATTTGTGTAAAAAAAAAAAGAAAGAAAGAGTACATCTTCAATTTGTAAACTAAACTATGCTTCATCTCCACAAAATTCTTAATCCTTAACAATCGTTCCAGTTTTAGCTCTAGTTTTATATGCGCTTCACTGCTTACAAACTGTAGTATTCTTTGAGAAAATCTTCCATTGCAAAATACAAATAAACTTTAAATGCTTCGTTGTGATCATCAGTAACTTCTGTGGTCCTCAATCGTTTTTACATGCATAATTATAAGCATAAAATTAAAAATCACCAATTACAACACCTTTTTATCTAGGCCATACGCAATAGCTGCAGCTGTAGGTTCATTAATTATACGAAGTACATTCATTCCAGAAATGGTTCCAGCATCCTTCGTAGCCTGCCGCTGGGAGTCATTGAAGTAGGCAGGTACAGTGATTACAGCATTTGAGATTGTCTTCCCTAAATATGCCTCTGCAATTTCCTTCATCTTAGTTAAAACCATAGAAGAAATTTCCTCAGGGTAAAATGATTTGACCTCCCCTTTGTATTCTACCCTGATCTTAGGTTTTCCTCCATCATTGATTACTTCAAATGGCCAGTGTTTCATGTCCTGTGCAACTGTTGGGTCATCCCACTTTCTGCCAATGAGGCGTTTTGCATCTGTGAAAGGTATTAGGGAAATGCTTATGGGTAATGCAACCACAGTTTGTAAAAATATTGTAACACATATACAGTGTACAAGCATCTACACACAAAATATCTCAAAGTGACAGTTGATCAAATTACCTTAAAATCTGATTTAGCAATTATATATGAAATTAATAAAAAGAACTATAAATTAAGTTAAATATTTAACTATAAATAAAGCATATTTGGGCTTAATACATGTATAATTACATCACATTTAATATACACAGATATAGTTTATTACTATCAAGAAAGTTTTTATAAAGTGCTTTAAAAAGTATAATACCATATGATTTACAACAAAATAAACTAAAAATTTGTAAGTTCTACCTGAAGGTTAGCATTTGCTTTATTATGTAGTTTAAGTTTGATACTTACCAAATACAGTATTATTAGGGTTCATTGCAACCTGGTTTTTAGCTGCATCCCCAATAAGTCTTTCTGTATCTGTAAATGCTACATAACTGGGAGTAGTGCGGTTTCCTTGATCATTAGCTATTATTTCTACTTTTCCATGCTGGAACACTCCCACACAAGAATATGTGGTTCCCAAATCAATACCGATAGCTGTTGCTCTGGCCATAATCTTGAAGGGAAAACAAAAACATATATATATCAAGAATTATTCTTAAATAAGGCATAGTATAGACCTGCTTTTAGAAAATCTGTTTGTGGACTTTGGCCAATGTTAAAGTACGTATTTCAACGTCTTATCATAATTCACTTTTAAAAATTAGAAAGTGCTTTATCACCACTATGATATAACAAGTATATTTTTAAGTAAAGCACTGTAAGCTCCTTTATTTAAATCATATGTGTGTTGCATTTCAAACTGGTTACATTTGATGTTACTGTAGGTTTAAGGAAGTGTCCAACAAGACAAATAATTTAGAAAGCTAAGTTTGGGTCAAAGATTCAAATTATTGTTATAACTTTGGAATCAAAGAAACTCTGCTTGAGGCCATAGACAAAAGCTATTGAAGGAATTACCCAATTAAGAAATTATTTGATGACCCCCATTCTCCAGCACTTGATGTTTCTCTGTGTAATAACTTCTACCTATAGAATCACTAACAATCTTCACTAGAAACTACAATTAAAAATATCATAAAAAGCGTCTATGAACACAGTGGCCTAGTTTCATCAGTTGAGTATACTTACTGATACTAAAACTTAAAGGGATCATTTCAAAATATGTAATACTTCAAATATACAATACCTTTCTCAGCCTTGCACTTGTGGCTATAATTCCTAACAAGTTGCATGTTTTGTAAACAAAAAATAATAATGGTAAACTAGGCTAAATTAACATATTTGTAAATGACTTAAATAAAATGGATAAAAATTATAACTTACTCGCATAATCCTTTTTAAACCATAACAACTGTTGTTCCCGAAAACAAATAATATATTTAGCATTTAGACCAGTACTTTGTCTTTTGTATCCCAGCCGGCCTGTTAAGCCCTGGTATTAGTGAAAGGCCTCGTCAGTAGTGGATAAATTGGGTTATGTTGTGTGGTTAACATATTATAAGAATATATATTAACATTCTCGTCTGCGTTCACTCGTGGATTCTTAGAACTAAGCCTTTATTGTACATTGCCTGCTAAAAAATACTGTTATTATTAATGGCTGGAAACGGCTTGAATGGGTAATGAAGAAAACTTTAATATAAGTTTAAAATAACAGCAAATGTACGACGTTTCGACAAGATTTTGTCATCATCAGGTACCCATTCAAGCCGTCTCCAAAGTGGAGTTCCTCGTCACCGAATTTGAATACTGTTACTATGTTTATTAATGCAAGACGTACGCTTTAAAACAAGTTTAAAATGTTTAGAAAACAGTAATTCAAAAAATTAACGAGAGCCCAAAATAAGAAATCCTACAACCCATGCGTTTTTGAAAAATAGACATTTCTTGAAATTTAGTATGCACCTGATGAAAAACGACTACCTTTTGAAAGTATTCGAGTCATACTTATACTACGGCTTCTTATTTTTGTTTTAAAATAAGTGTTACTACGCTTGATATGTTATGATAATAACAATGCCATACACTATTATTAGAAAAAACTTTTGTTAAATCTCTTTTCTACAGATTATGTAGTGAGACTGGAGTGTAATTTTTTAACAAGATTAAATAAATTATTCCTGGAGCACAGTAGTCATTTTTAATTATTTTTTTTTATATAAGTTAGCTATAACATTAACAAGTTTTGTTAACTTTAACTCAATTACAAAATACCTGATAGTGATACGGCGTTCTAACACCAGTTATTTAACCAGCAAACACGGATAATTTGGGTAGCTATCTTTTAAATTTAGTTTAAACCAGAAAACAGTCCTAATCTTCAAGTTCCTCGCCCAACGATACTCTAGAACAGTATGAATGTCCAAATATAGCGAGACAGATTAAATAGCTTTATATTTGTAATTGGCAACGGATGTGACGCACGTTCGAGAAAATTCAACACGAGACTTATACCTTTTTGGTGCTAAGAGAAGAGTCTGATTATGTTTGGCATGTTTTCCAGCTGTATTACGGTTTGTCACGTGACAGTTAAATATTACTAGAGCAAGTTTGGCATAAGAAGTTCGACAAACTTCGTAGGCCTAGTTAGGATGCAATTCTATGCTAGAAAATTTAGTATTTCAAAAGTATGGATAAAAATAGTAATATTTGTGAAGGCTTTAGGTCAACGATTTCTGAGTGTGATTGGGGTCACCAGAATTTTACTAGCGTATCTTAATATGTACTAATTTTTATAATTGCAGATTATGCAAACTAAGTAACTAAACGAAGTTAACGCCAGTAATTTAATTTTACACACAAATGTTAGTTTTTTCGCAGTGACTAGTTATAATTTGTGAAAAGCGAGAAAGAAAAATGTATTATAAAAAAGAGAAGGTTTTACCAAATATTGTTTGGGCTGACTGTGCTGTGCCCCTGCTAGTATTGAACCCCAGTTTTTAGTCTAATAAGTTTTCGAACTTGCTGCTGAGTTAGCGGGGGATGATACTAAATATTAATACTAGGGGTGCGTATCTCATCATTGTAGTCAATACGATACGTATCTAGATACAGAAGTTTTACAACGATTTGTTACAAAGTTTGACAGTGTTGTCTGTAACTTATTATCTATATTACTAACATTGTATCATTTGAGTACTTCACACTTTAAAGTGCTTTTTCAAATTCTCAGGTTTGATCAACTAAATAGCAGGGCCAGGTGGTTATGGCGCTCGACTCGCAATCTGCGGGTCGCGGCTTCGAATCCCCGTCACACCAAACATGCTTGCCCTTTCAGCCGTGAGGGCGTTATAAAGTGGCGGTCAATCCCACTATTCGTTGATAAGAGTAGCCTAAGAGTTAGTGATGACTAGCTGCCTTCCTTCTAGTCTTACACTGATAAATTAGGGACGACTAGCGCAGATAGTCCTCGTGTAGCTCTGCGCGAAATTCATAACAAACAAACTAACTAAATAGCAGCTGGCAAGAGGAGTAAAATAAAAAAAGTTAATATCTGTCTATTTATTTTGTTTTGTAATGTTTCTGATAAAAGAAATGAAGACAACATGTAGTACTCAATACTCATCTTCCTTTATTGAGTCATTAATTTTTAGCAAAAATACTTTATTAGAAATTCTAATTTTTTTCAGTACAAAATACTTTACTGAAAGCTTGCCATATTTCGTGAAGATACATAAATAGTATCGAACGATGTATCGATACAATCGTATCACGGCTTCATGATACGATACTCGTGTCGTATCGCCACACCTTTAATTAATACTGACATTTCACGTGGAATCATTTCAGAGCGCACTTTAATTTCATTAAATGAGAGTCTATAATTGAAATACGTTTTTTGTCTATTTATTTTTCACTATTCTTTGCCATTTAACAATGATTTATTTATTTATTTTTGCACTTGTGTTGGGTTTCAAGTATCCAACAAATAAATATAAAGTATCCACAAAACGCAAAGTCTGGAAATGAAATGTTGGGTACAGAATAGATCGAACACGGACGACAATTAATGAAGGAAAAGTAACAAATATAAGTGAATAAATATTTTTTTTAAATCTATGTCAGTTATTAACGTTACCTTATTTATTAAGACCTTTTTCACCATGTCATTGTTGTCAGCAGCATTTTTTTTCTTTACAATAGACTAAAATATACAATAGTATATAATTAGTAAATCAAAGCAACGTTATTTATTAATATAATGGGTACAGCTGAGAAGAAACATCACTGTGTCAAATAAATACATGTTCCCCGATGTGTTTGTGGTACGTTTATGGAATTAACAATGTTAAAATCAAGACGTGTGGACTGTCTGCTCTTATAGTCGGGCCAAAGCGTAAGTGCGATATCTCAGAAGTCTCTGTATGTGTGTATGTTTTCTTTTAGCAAAGTCACATCGGGCTAGCTGCTGTGTCCACCGAGGGAAATCGAACCCCTGATTTTAGCGTTGTAAATCCGAAGACTTACCGCTGTCCCACCGGAGGACATCTCAGAAGTCATAAGATTACATACTTCCGCTACTAAATTAAATACAATCCTAACCATGTAAAGCCAGTGTGCACAGGTTTCTGTATCACCTGTTTAAATAGGCGAAGTATAAGTCAATACAGAAACGCCTATACGCTAGCTTGACATTTAAGTTGCAGCATATATATATATATATAAATGGTTTTAAAATTTCAGGATCTGGACTACAATAACATTATTTCTAAATGCAGAACTACATGTAAATTTAAATTAATTATCCAAATATACTCGAATAAGTATATATTATTTACAAATTGTGGGAGATATTTAAATGGCTTCAATTGATAGTTGAGGATTTAACGTGAGGTGGATTGGCGTTCCGTACGGGGGGGGGGGGTACAATCACTAGACCCTATGTGCTGCATAGTCTGCTCCAACTCAGATTTTCCACAGAGCAGTCGGTTAGGCCCGCTAACTGGAGGCTCAATTAATATCACGTCACAGAGTATGGGTCTGTGTCTCTCTTTGAACTCTGACAGAGTTTGTCAATAAAGAAAGAAACAGTGCACATAATGTAAAGCACGACAATCTGTATTTACAAAAAAAAAAGAGAGAGATCAAAGGACAAACGCAATATACACATCCAAAACATGGACACGTGTTTGTTATGAGTGCGTTGAACAGGAAAGAGAAGTGTGGAGAAACCTTTTAAAAGATCTCTGTCACTAGTTCAATGTGAATCTCTGCCTGTAAGCTAAAAGAAAATTAAATTAAACTAAAACCAAAATAACCATGTGATGTTAAAATAAATTTAAATTACCTTTTAAAATACATCAATGGAAAAGTTTAAGTAAAGTCTGTATAAAATCTCAATCTTAACAAAAAACTCCAAAGTCTCTGTAAACTTGCTTAACAGAATAGAATCTGGGTTTAAGTATTAAAAATTATTTGCTCACACACTGGACTTTTCACACATGACCTAGGATCATATCTCTTCTAACATAGGAGTGTAGAGGTTCCAGACCATTAACCAATTTGCCAATAGAGAAGACAACTGTCTCTTCTGAAATGTCACAGTGAAGTAACAGCTATCTTTCTTGTAAGAGAACATGCCTAATGAACAATTCGTACATCTGAATCTCGTTCTCTTATGCACCAGAGTTAGAAACGTTGAGTTATTTACTTGAGCGACTCTCTGCATCCAAACTGAACTGAAAGAAAGACGGCTGTCTAGGTTTTAACCTTAATATGAAAGAATGACACCTGTACTTATTTCAGCTATTGAAGACTCTGCTCAGAACTATACCTGAAATTTAAACTTTAACAGCCAAATGAGAATTGGAACTCTTGTTCACATTCCTTGCTCCATCCAAAGTGCATCTCAATTTAAAGCAGAAATTTTGCTGCTATCTTTAAGAATTTGCCCATAAACCATCAACAAAAACAAGGAAACTGTAGACTTCTTACTTGGTCTTAGGTTATAGTCAGCCTCTTATAACAGCTATCTTAATAGAGTCTAAAGATGGTTGGAGACGGCTTGAATGGGTATTGAAGAAAAATGAAGGCTCCATCTCTACCTATAATATGACGGATTCCACTTCAATGTGAATAAATACACATTTTACTGGTTTCAGGTCTGCTTTCTTTATCTGCTAATATACCACTCGGTTCTCAGCTGCAGATTCAAACATTGTGCAAACACCAAAGCATCATATACATAGATGAGGCGACTCACTCATTGCAGCCCTTTGATAAACTCCATTAGCTTCTCAAAAGTGGCAGTCACATTATATAGGCTGTATGGCATGACCAGAAACTCGTACAAGCTATCTTCTGTGTTAAAAGCAGTCTTAGGTCTTCTCACGTTATCCAGTTTGACTTGCCAGTATCAAGATGCCAGATCTAGTGTTTTTAACCAGTGGGAACCTTCCAAGGTGTACAGACATACATCACTTTATGACAAGGGAAAGGCATTAATGTGAGTAACCTCGTTCACCCATCTAAAATCTTCACTAAATCTTGACATGTCTTCCTTTTTTTTTTCGCACAATTACTGCTGGAGATGGCCAAGCATTCACTGAAGGTTGTGTGATCCTGGCCTTTAACATATGCTGTATCTCAGCACTAGTTACTTCCTTAGTGCTCCAGGAAAGTCAGTAAAGTAATTACTCGATCAAACATCCATTACTTGTAGATGTGTGGTGGGAGTTGTTTTTGTTCAACCCCATGGCCATCTGGTCCAACACGTTCATCAGTATAACAAGTCATTGAGTTTCTTACACTGCATTGAGTCAAAATTGTTTACACAATCCTCAACCAACAATTTCATATGTTTTGGCAGCAGCATACTCACTTTTGGACAGAGTGCAATGAATACAACCCTAGCATCACTGCTAGCCTTGATTATTTCAACTTTGTTTACCACACCAATGACCATTTCAGCATAAAGTTGGATAGCTGATTGCCCATAATTACAGAACTACACTTGGGCTTCATCTTTCTTTGGACAGCTAACTTTTCAAGTTCATACTGCTTACTTTTGGGACATGAAACTATTCATTTCATGTATCGGCTTTATAAATCCATAACAAGGCACTGGCACAATAGATTTTGTCCGTAGTAAACCATAGAACACCACTTTTGTATAAGGAATGCTGTTATTCCCTCTTATACATACATTCATACAATACATTTTCCCTGTACTCGACCTGGCTGGCATCAAATAACTCTCCTGTGGAATATCAGTTCACCAGTTGCCTAAGCAAAACTGACCAATATTTTTGTAGTCTGTCTAAACCAAGGATGCCTGTGCAAGAACTGAAGTCGGAGATAGCTACCTTCATTTGATGAATGACATCTCCTAAACAAAGCCAGAGATTTGTTTCTCCAATCACGTTTAATCT